AACGGTCATGACAAAGAACACCATTCAAAAACAAATGTCTAACTAAATCATGAATAATTGTTTGATACTGCACATAGAGTGATATTCTTGATAGTTTCAACTTATATTTAATTTACAAAATTTTCTAAATACAAAAGTATATCATGAATGATAGAAAAAGCTAACAAAATATTTTATCGCATATTTTTCTCTCTAAATGGACACACCCTTGACAAAATCCTCGCTACGCCTCTCCCATTCACTTTATCTCGTAGTAGGGCTGAGAAAATAGACCAGACCGTTAGAAAAACTGTGGTCCAAATCATACTGTACAGTTTGGTCCGGACCGTAGACTGTTAAGTATGGTCTGGTCCATGGTCTGTATTATTTTATGTTTTGATCTCTTGGTCTTGTCTGGTGTAGACCGCGGTTTACCGGACCAAACCGTGGACCCAACCGACTTGCCAATACGTGTTAACAACCCATTTGACCACTCTCCCAACTCCCACAACGACATCCAAGTCGCAACCTTAATTTTGTGAATCTCGTCTCTCCTTCATTCACAACCACATTTAACCAGAGAGTAGAGATAATCGTGTCTCCATATGACATTATGTTAATATTTTATGACGTTATGGTGCAAGTTGGGATGCTTTTACTTTAAATCTGTGTTATGTACTAAGAATTAGGGTATCAAAATTATTCATGCATGTTAGGATTAATGTTTTAAGGCAAATAACAATTATTTTTCTTGGTTATTCATGAATGATAACGATATTCTACAAAATGTCTCCTAACTTGAGAGTACATTTGGTGAAAAATGGATCAACAAATTATCTTATTATTAGACTTTATAACAATTTCGGACCTACTTTACACAGAATCGTGGCTACGCTACTGGTTGATAAGGATAAATAACTTGCAGAGTTATATACTCACATGATCACATCAATAAAAAAAACATAACAATGCCAACCTCGTTAGTCACTAATCATCAATTTTCTGGAGTTGAGGTGGGAAGTGTATAAATTAAAACGCCACCTAGGTTCTGGACTATATTTATCTATCTATCTATCTATCTATCTATACTTAATATTATGGCTATTCAAAAGTAACTTCTTGCCACATAAGCACTTGGTGAATTCACAAGATACCAAGGTGGACAATTTTTTTACAAACAAAAATTTATTTATTGATCTATTTATGGAGTCATCTCTCTCTTCTTTGAATACTTCTACTCATTTTTACTAAAACTTAAAATAAGTTATATTTTTTTGTGACACATTTAAACAAACAAACAAACAAACAAACACACATAAGTAATAATCTTTTCTTCATTTAAACAAACTATAAAGATGAAAATAGAGAGTGACATATATAGTGGTTGTTTAACCCAAAATCTCTTATTAGATCTCATTAAGTAAATTTTCTATTCATTTTTACAAAAACTTTATAATAAGTTACATTTTGATGGAAAAAAAACAAGCACACATATGAATAATAATAATAATTTTTCAATTAAACAAAATTTAAACTATGACCTAAGAGAAAATGAGCGTTTGACAATCAATCATTTTTGAAAAGTGAACTATATGCCTATATATTTTTTGCTATCAAACACTCACTTCTTCTTCATGAATATACTTATAAAATAAAACAAGTATAATTTATATAGAAAATGGCCTGAAGATAAATTTGACATCAATAATTGTTATTTTTTAAAACATTTCTTATTCATTCCGTTTAAATGAAAAACATATTAATTATGAATACAACCTTTTAATTTATCTTTACCATTTTCCCATTTTGATTGTCTCTCTAGAAATAAAATCCAACATTGAAAATAAGAAATTAGATAGAGAAGGAAATGGTAATGCATATGAAGTTTTTTTTTCTTTGTAGGAGAATAGGAGGAGGGATGTACACGAGGAAACGATTAGATAACAAAATTTTGAGCAGTTGTAACATATTTTTGCCTGTTGATGAAAGCAGTTCATCCTATCATCGCAAAGACGAGGTGAACCAAACCGAGGATTGTCGACTGCTCCCTCTTCCTCCTTGATCTGAAGCTGGCAACAACTCACTCTTTTTTCCATTACTTTCTTAATTTCTTCCAAATTTAAACGGTTTGATGGTAAATTTCCCCACTCGATGAGCGAATGTATTTCTTCTTCATTTTCACGGAGTTGTTTTATGTTCCCTATTACGTCATATACTTTTATGTAAATAGGTAATATATGATTAGAAAGGATAATTGGTTGGACTTAAGGCATATGTCCTTTGGTTGAATAATTGATCTTTTACTTAAATGCCTATTGCAACCCGATTCCTTAGATGTTGAAATGGAAAGTAGAGTTGTGAGGGTTGTTCATTATAGTCCTTATGTTCATGATTGACATGCTACTAGCTAGCTATAAGATGATGATATGGTTAGTAATTAGTAGGTAGCAAAGGGATTATAAGTAAAAGGGAACATAATTGTGGGTTTTATAAAGGTTGCGAAGAAGAAAGAAAATGACGGTGACGGTTCCTCGGTTGTGTATTTTGATATTTTTTCAAATTCTACATGTTTGCAATGACATTTGTTTGTTTCATTAGGGTGAATTTCTCCTCATTAAATCCTTAACTAAAGCTTGATTTTGACATGATTATTTTCTTACCAACTACTATTTTGATTGGTGCATAGATTCAGTTCACAAATTAGGAATCTGCAAGATAGAATGAGTTGAGTTGTATTGAAGTATGCTCCTTTCATTATTTGTCTATGTTGTTATTAGGTAAAAAAGCACTATTTTTTCCTTTAGGAGATATGCAGCTCTCTATAAATTATAAATTATAAATTGTGTTTATATGCAGTTTAATTTGTTGAAAATATTGCTTTAATAAATTAGTGACAACTGATAGTTCTGTTTGTGGTTGGTTTTGCTAGAACATTGACAAGATAAATTAATTGAGTATGCAGAAAATTGATGGATGTGGATGCTAATGTGTTTCATCATTATTCCAGAATTGCAGGTGTAACTGATAATACATGCTATTCGTGAGATCAAGATCGTAATGTTCTCTATTATCATATACCGACATAGGAGAAGGGAAAGAAAATGAAAGCTCTTCACTTAATTTTTTTATTAATTGAATCCTATTTTCTTATTCTAACTTCTTCGTTTTTTTTACCTTAAATTTTTTAACTTCTTTATCACTTTTTTGAGTTCGATACAAAATTTTAAATCAATAAAGAACGGTCTACAAAGAGCTCAGTTAATACAATTAAATTTTTTATAAATAAAAAGGTATAAAAGTATGAAACATTACCTAAATAAGGTAAGTGAGATTTATAATTTCATGTATATAAATCAACAAACATAAATGATAATAGTAATTAGAATACTATAATGAATTATAGAATAATCAAATGTAATGCACCGTCCAATGGGCGGGTAAAAAACTAGTTATGTATTGAAAGAGAATACCTTAGCATGTAGGAAGGTTCAGGCGCTAAGGTTGAATAATATTATTATTATTATTATTATTATTAAGAAGAGAATATTGTCAAATCAATCGCTTTGGTCGCCGGGACCGGCCGGCGATTTGGGAGTTGAGACGCGGCGATTTGTGAATTGTATTTGTGCCCCTCCTCCACTCTCCAGCCACGAGCCATTGAATTGACCCAAGATGTTGGTTCAATATTTGAACCGATAGTTTTCTTCAAATATAGCGTTGTTAATTTGTCTAATCCAACCACTTGAATTGCCTCATTCGAATTGAGAGAAAAACAACCCATTAGTAGTAATGATAATGCAAAATAAGTGCAAGTCTTGTTAGATAATACTCACGCCCCTGGGGGCTTATCTTGGATAAAAAAAAAAAAAATACTCGCGCCGTTATAGAGTGAGATATGTCGGCTCATTCTGACATGTTATTTGAAGAAGAAGAAAATTGAAAATTTTAAACTATTTTACGAGGAATGAAAGTGAAAACACTTCATAAATAAAAAAAGATAAAATGTATTGTTTGATTGAATCCAATTGGTTGAAAAATGGAGTCCTGTACTTATTCAAAGTTTCATTAAGGAAAAAATATTATTTAGAAAAAGTCAAAAAGAGGACAAATACACTTAGAAATATATTGAAAAAATCGAGATAAAACAGGTCGGAACAACGAGGCAGGGCGAAATTTGTACTTCCACAAACATATCAATAAAGATCGAATCGCATGGATCAAATAAGAAATTACCATTACTACCGATTCGTATGATACCTTGAAATAAGAGATTTCAGAGGATTGCAAAGACTTGGTAAATGCTAATCCCAATTACCATTTCTTTTTAATTGTTTATGGATCAACAAGCACAGCAAATTCACCCATTATGGTCTATGGATAGGTTGGAATGATGGTGGTAGTGCTCCCATAGTCAGACATTTGAAAATTATAAGGAGTTGATGGAGATGCATGCCGCCATATTTCTCTACTTCTATTATTTCTTGGTCTTCTCCTCCATTTATAAGATCCTCATTAGAGCTGCCGGAAACACTACGAAAGGGCTTCGAGGGGGTCGAACTCAGGACCTCACACGTCGAGAACGAGCATCCAACGAGGGTTCACCAATCGGACGGCAACATTTGGCTACTCGGTTGGTTTACTATAGCTAGATTTCTTTTCTTTACAATATTTTTTCCCCAAATGGCCATTATTCTAAAGTCTTTCTGTATAATTCAATTCAACAATCACAGTCGCCCATATACCTTTCCGTTACTATCTTTTCTTGTCTCTGCCGAAAACGAAAGGGGAAAAGTAAACCATCGAGATTGCCTTGAGGGCCAAGAAGAAAAAAGGATGGGGGAAAACAGTCGCAGTATGATCTTTTTTTCGTGCACTATTTAGTATTAGATGCGGATCTTTTCTTCACTTCAAAATATCAACTACATGTGTCTCACAGCTCATTGGATTGATGAGCAATGCAAAATACACAAGAAATTTTGAGTTTTCCCAACATTGCTAATCACAAAGGGGAGACTATTGGGATGGCTGTTCTTAGCTGCTTGGATGATTGGGGGATAGAGAAGATATTCACAATCACGGTGGATATTGAGAGTACTTACGATGGAGCTATTAAGCATATCATTAGGAGAACTAAAGATGGAGCTCGGACTGTGTTAGAGCATGCATACATACATGTTCGATGTTGTGCTCACATTCTGAATCTTATAGTGCGAGATGGATTAAAAGATTTGGATGATGCAATAATCACGATTCGGAATGCAGTTAGATTTGTCAATAGTTCTCCAGCGAGATTGCAAAGTTTCATGTAGTGTGTTGAGGAGGAGAAGATCGGCTAATATGCCTAGATGTTGAGACAAGGTGGAACTCAATTTTTCTTATGTTAGAAGTTGCTGAGAAATTTGAGAAGGATTTTGAGAAGTTAAGAGTTTGATGATCCTCGCTATGTTTCATACTTTACAGGCGGTGATGAAGATGGAGGGGACCAAGATGTCATTAGTGTGCAGAATGAGATATCTATTTGCACAAGGGGTAGAGGAAGAAAGAGGCTCAGAATGCTTGGTCCACCTTCTAGTGAGGACTGGAAAGACGCTAAGTGTTTAACCGAGTTTTTGAGGCTTTTCTACAACGCCACTCTTAAGCTTTCTGGTGCTCAGTATACTACTTCTAACCAGTTTTTCCACGAGCTTGTCGCTTTGCAGCAAAACATCATGACCATGACTGAGAGTAATGATCGAATATTGAGTTCAATGGCTTTCAGAATGTTGTCCAAGTTTACCAAATACTGGTCGATTATGTGAACTCTTTGTTGCACATAGCTGTGGTCCTAGATCCAATATATAAGCTAAAATATGTGGAATACTGCATGACACGACTTTGCGGAGAGAAAAAGGCTGCTGAGTTTGCAGAAGATCTTGAGAAAAAGCTGGTTGAGCTGTATGAGTATTATTTGGAAGAAAATCCTAATTCTGGGCACTCTAAACATGCTACTTCCGCTGCTAGCCTTGATATTTCTGCTGATTTACTGAATACAGATCCTGCAAAAGCTCTTAGACTTTAGTTTGCAAAGGAACATGCATCTTCTGCTAGCATTGGAGGGAAGTCAGAAGTTCAGCGATACCTTTCTGAAGTTGCAGAGGGGGAAACAGATGCATTTGACATTTTATTCTGGTGGAAAATCAACTCTTCCAAGTATCCAATCATAGCACTTAGCACGAATTGCAAAAGATGTGCTTGCTGTGCCTGTAACAAGTGTGGCTTCGGAGTCAACATTCAGCACTAGGGGTCGTGTACTTGATGCATATCGGAGCAACTTAGTACCAACTACTGTGGAAGCATTGATTAGCTGTCAAGATTGGTTGAAATCTTCTGGACACTCCATAGGGGTTCATAATGCATTCCCTGGTATCGGTAAGTTTTTCTACCTTAATTCATTTAATGATCTTGTTATAACATATATTTGTAACTTTTTGCTAGTAGTGTCAAAATGCATAAACATTTAGCAGCCTCCTGTTTAAATAGCTTGTTAAGACAGTGAGCTTTGTAATACTGTCGAAGGAATTATGGATGATTCTGCAGTTTTAGGTATAGAATTGTAAAGAGACCAAGATGTGTAACCCTTGTTGGGGGAGCACATAGAGCATTAATAAGATTTTTTATATAGCCCATAAAAAAAAATATGGATGATTGCTGAATTTTTCAAGGAGCTTGTACTACTAAATGATCAATATTTTAACTTATCACTGTGATTTTTTTTTTGACAGAAGCATAAGAGGATTAAGAAGATCATGGATATGCTCCTGTTGATCTTGTTCCTTTGGGGATGTAAGTATGAGTTGCTATGCCAAGTAACCGTGTTTTTTAGATGGATGTTTGTGATCATATCCAGCAACCGTATTTTCTGTTCTTGGCTGCCTTACTAATATTATTAATAGATCATCATGTTTTTTATGTCCTTTATTACAGGTTGGAGACTTGGAGTCAATAAAAGGGACCAAAAGGGAACAAGTCAGAACTCGAACTCAGAAGCAACAGAGGAATGGGCACTATTGGGTGGCGCCTAACATTTGAAAATGTAAAGGCGCCTAGGTTGGCCAGGTGCTTCAAATGAGGGCACCAAAGATTGAGGTGCCAACGACGAGAAAAAAGGGGTATTCGGCAGACGCCTAGGCTAAAAGGAGTATGTCAAAGGTGCAGGCCAGCATTGGTGAGTCAGGAGCCCATGATGGGAGTACAAGCACGCGCAGACCGGTTCGACGAAAGAAGACGATTGAAAGGCCAAAGGGGGTTAGGCGCCTGCAACAAGTGAATTCTTAGGTACGCGCGGAGTGGATGGGCGCTATTGGGGCGACGCCTAACATTTGAAAACGTAAGGGCGCCCCGATTGAAGGGAATGGGGAGCATCAGTGCCACTAAATGACGATCAATCTTGGGAGTATTACTAGAATGAGCGCCTCTCAAAAGGTGTGTGAGAAACGCCAATCGAATAGGAAGCAACAAGTGCGTCAAAGGGCGTAGTTAGGCATTTAAGAAGTGAAGGTTGAGCGCCTAATTGGGGGGTAATTGTTGGGGGTATTACGTGGGCCTGCCCAAATATGGGCACAATATGATCTAGTAGAAGAAGAAAAAGCTCCATTATGAGGTAGGCCCATGGGTAGTCCTATTGGGTCGGGTCCATGCATGAAGTGGGCAACCTAAAGACAAAACTCAGGAAACTCAAAAGAAGTACGGATTGCCTATGTTCCCCCTGTTGGGCGCCTATCAATTGTCAGAGGCCTGACATGTCGGTCAGGGGCCTAGTCTGACAGAAGTTTGGAGCATTAAATGTGTCGCTAGCGTGGAGCTGGGTTGAAGGAGCCCGGTCTAGAGTTGGGTGAGAGTAAATAGGGCCGGTAGGTAGCATTTATAGGGGGGGACTTTCACACTAAAAAACTAGAGTTAAACACTTCTCTATCTAAACCCCGGACTAACTTGATCGCCAGAGGATTAACGGGCCCAGGCGCCCACCTCTGTGTGCATCTGTGCAGGCCAGACGCTTAGGAATCAGTGAGCAAGGAGTGTGTGGCGAAGAAGCAGACTCTCGGGTATCCGGGAATAAACATAAACCATGCCAAACTTCTTTCACAAAACTGCAATTGATGAAGAGATGGTTGTTATTTTCTTCCTCCCTAGCAAAGCTCACACAGCAAAGAAGCAAATTTTGGATGGGATGAAGTGTTTCCAAACTGTCGAGTGATGATAATAAGCCCGGCACACTAGAGAGCAAACAAGTATCCCAAAGAGTCGTCGAGTTAACCTTAGTACCAAGTATTACGACATAATAATCAGGTATAGGAACATTGCACATAGTATACATGATTGATTTGTCCAAGTTGATCTTAAGACCATTGATGGCTTGAAAGCAAACAAGAGTGCTAAGGATGTTGAGGACTTGCTCGTGAGAAACATCACAAAAGATGAGAGTATCATCAACAAAAAGCATGTGAGTAACCTCACCTTGCCGATAAAACTCGTCCATTAAAAAGCCTTCAATTAAGCCCGGCACACTAGAGAGCAAGAAGGAGAGAACATCCATAACCATAGTGGACAAGCTGGAGGAAAGAGGATCGCCTTGTCTGAGGCCTTTATGAGCCGGAAAAAATCTCTTAGATTCTCTATTAATTAAGACCGAGAGCTTGAAAAGGAGAGCAAACAACGCCCTTGATCCAATACAGTCATTTCGATGGAAAGCCAAATCTGGAGAGCACCTTAAACAAACAACTCCAATAGACGCTATCAAAAGCTTTCTCAGTGTCAAGCTTGAATTTAAGGCCTGGTTTTTTGCTTTTCCTCCTACTATTAATGAGTTCATTTGAGATAAGACCAACTTCTGATATCTGTCTACCATGGACAGAAGCATGTTGGTAGTAAGACACAATGCTAGGAAGCACCACACAGTGTCATCGAGAGAGAACTTTATTAATCAGCTTGTTGATGCTTCCCATAAGGCCAATAGGTCAGAGATCCTTGACTTCTTCAACATAATCCTTCTTGGGGACAAGGAAAATGAAAGAATGAACCGCACACCTGGAGAGAACCAAAAGAATGAAATTCCATAAAAATCTTCAAAAATTTAGCCTTGATCCTAGCCCAGCATCTCTTATAAAATGCAAATGTAAAAGCCATCGGACCCCGGAGCCTTATCACCATCACAATCGACCAAAGCTTCCCAAATTTCTGATTTTGTGAATGGTTTAGTAAGTAAGACATCCTCATCTTCTCTTAGGGGTCGTTTGCTTGTTGGATTTGGGTCATGGATTTGGTACCCAAATCCCAAGCTTGATGGATTTAACATAAGTCCATTGTTTGTTGAAGGGTTCTAAATTCGTGGGGTCCACGGATTTGGTCTTTATTTTGGAACCAAATTCGTGGACCCCACGAACTTGTAAATCCCACATATTGATTTGGGATTTGCAAATCCTTGATGGTTAGTTATTTATTTAACAAATCCATCACAAATCCATCATCAAATCTATCATGCAAACATTAGACTCTTCAAATCCATAATCCAATAAATCCAAGGCAAAATACACTTGTGTAGCCAAAATTTGATGGTTTTGCCAAATATAGCCACTTTTGGCTAAATACCAAAAATAGCCACTTCCGTCCAATTCTTTGACGGTGTTAACCAAATGGCTGACTGGACTAACGGAGTGGCTGAGTTGACGACAATTAATAATTTAAAATATGAGGTGGAAAATAAATATAAATTAAATACTTTTTTCTATTTTCACTCTCCTATCTCTCTTACTTTCCCTTTCCCAGCCTATGAGATTTCCTCTTCTTGCGTTTTATTTTCCCCAACGCAATAAATCACTCCCTCTCCCCTCGCGATTCATTCACTCTCTCAATTTAGGGATTTTCCTTTTCCAGTTTCCCTCCCTTTCCTCTACTGATCGATTACCACAATGGGAGGAGGCGCAACCATGAGAACAGTGGCCAAGGTCGTTGGTATCGGCGTCGTCAACAACGGATTCCACGGCGTCGCCGGGATTCGGGCAGAGCTAGGAGAAGGGTGCAGACAGAGCAAAGAGAAACAGAGAGGGATCGAGAAACCTCTTGGGAACCCAAAATTGAAAACCCAGGTCGATTCACTTTTGATTTCTGGGGCTATTCAAGATCTGTGAAAGAAGAAGCGGCTAGCGATGGCGTCGGAAGGCATAAGAGGAAGGTGATTCATCGGAGGCGACGCGGACGGCATAAGCGGCAGGATCTTGAAAGTAAAAGCTCTGGATGGTCGTTTTCAGCCTTGTTTGTGTTTGGGTTTCGTTCGTAGAAGAACAAGAACCAAAGAAGACATATCAGATCTGGAGAAGCAGGGTTCACTGGTCGCTTGGTTCGTTGGTCGATCAATGGGAGATACTGGATTTGATTCTCGAAAGAATAGGGGGCAGGGAGTTGAATTGGAGAAGATGAAGAAGGGGATTAAGAGACGGAGAGTTCATCTCTTTTTTTTTTTTTATTTATTTATGTAATTAATAATAAAAAAGATAAACATTTTCATTTGGAATATTTTAACGATTTTTTTTTTCTTTTGTAAATGACGTGTCGTCTAGCTGTCAGTGAATGTTGAGGTGGAAAAGAAAGAGAAAGTGAGTTGGCAGCCAGATCATCATTCCGTTAATTTGACCAACGGTGTCACTGACGCCGTTAAACTATGTAACGAAAATGGCTATTATTGTCATCAAACTTTTAAAATTTTGGCTATTATTGATATTTTCTCAAAAGTGGTTATTATTGTCACAAACGTCAAAGTTTTGGCTACACATGAATTTTGCCTAAATCCAACATAAATCCCAAGATTTTTATTGACCAAAACCCTCATTTTTCAAATCCAACAAGCAAACGACCCCTAGTTGTTTGTCAATGAACACGCCTGGAAAAGGGCGGTCAACGATATCTTCCTGAGAGAGATTCTGATAGAAGCTAAGAATGTCCTGCGAAACAGCCTCTTCTCTGTTAGCAAGCTCCCAATTGATTTTAATTCAACCAATGTGGTTGAATTTCCTTCTATAGTTTGCCATTTGATGAAAAAATCCGCTGTTTCTATCACCTACTTTCAACCATGGGATGTTTCAAAGATTTCATAATGGGAATGGATATACAACAACCCAACCCACTGCCATGCCTGGAATAAGAATGCTATAAATTAAAAAAAAAAAAAAAAAAGATAAAGAAAAGAAGTTGAATAAAAATCATATGATAACTTTATTTTTACTGTTATAAATAATAATTCACACAATCCAACTAAACAACAATCTTATGAAATCTATAATAATCCAAACTGGTCACTAATTCTTCACTTTTCAAAATCAAAATTTTGAACGGACCAACAAACGATCCCTTTATTGTCAGATCGTACATTCTCCTTAATGTCAGATCTCCATGGCCCTCTCAATAATAATTTGATTATGTTGATTGGAAATCCATCATTCCACTAGGCCTGAAAGACGGATAAAAAGAGTTACAAGTTGATCGACTAAGCGCGATTACAAATAAATCATTTTGTTCAGTTCACAGAGATTACCTGGACGCTAATGGGTGCAGTGCATGCAAGAAATCTTCCATTGTGATTTTAAAACTCTCTTCATCAAAACCCATCTTCGTCGGATGGACACTTGACGCTCTGTTGAAAGCACACGACACAGAACTATTCACCAAAGCTTCAAGCTCTGCACCACTGTACTTCTCTGTGCGAGCAGCTGTACAAAGAGGACAAGTATTATAAATTACCAACAAACAAACTCGATTTGCTCATAAGGTACTCTATGAACTTGGCTACTTGACGTCACAAACGAGCCAACTCATGAGCAAAACAAGATTTAGCTCAACTAATGAACGAGTATTGGTGGTGGACGAGTTTTTTCCGTCCAGCCGTGACCCTAACTAGGGATGATATGCAGACATCAGAAACACGTACCAAGCTCCTGAAGGTTCACATCAGGAGCAAGAAAGGAGTTCTCCATGTTGTCTGTAAGAATCTCGAGAATCTGGAGGCGACCACTTTCATCAGGAAGGCTAAACTTCACTTTAAGCTCGAACCGGCCAGGTCTATACACCAGCAAACAAATTTGATCAGGGACAGTAGCCAGAATTTTATATACAATGCTTCTAGGGCTTGATGATACAACATAGCAGTACCTCAGTTTGACATGGTATAGATTATAGTTGCGAAATATGTGATAAATAATATCAAGTAGCAGAATGTCATGGAGCAGCCCTTGTATGACAAACGCTTGAAAGTGATTCAACTATCTAAAAAAAATTATTTCAATATCCAACCAGTCTAAATGGAAATCGTGACTAAGCCATTCTGATGACGGGTCAGATGTAAAGGGACAGTGTATACCAAAAATATGCAACTGAAGAGAGAAAAACCTTAATAGTTCTTCGGGGAGCAAATCCTTTCTATTGGTCACTCCAATAAGCAAGATATTGTTCAGCGCCTTCATACCATCCATCTAGAATTCATAGAGAAACAATGATGTAACAATTTATACTATGTTTAGGCGTTTAGTAAAGACAGCAACCAACCACTCTACAGTTTACCTTTGTAGCCAACTGCTGTACGATGCGGTGACGAGCTACTTCAGCAGCCCTTGTTGATCCTCCCATCTGCAAAGTTAAACTAATAAATGATATCCAGGAATGGACACAAAAAAATTATATACTAACAGAAAAGGCCAGACAATTACGACAAAAAGGAATAATTAATAGGTTAACAGTTGAAAATCAAAAGTGTTTAATCCGCATTTAGGATAATTTCATAGGAAGAATTTTAAACCATTTCAAGGGATAAAATTTCATTACCATATCGTTGTGATCTAGATTTCATCACTACTGCAACTAAAGTTTAAGAAACACTGCATCCAGGGCAAACTTGGCTAGTACTTTACCTTGCATATAGCATCAATTTCATCAAAGATTATCACATGATGTTTACTTTGATCACCTGAAAGGAAACATTTACCCAATCCAGTTATCACAAGAGATCATGTCATGCCAGAAGCACCTGAAGACAGAGGGATCTTACCACGCTTCCGTTGATCATTTTCGGCATCTGCAAACAGATCTCTAATATTCTTTTCAGTTTTACCAATCATCTCACTAACGATATCAGGACCACGAACAACCTGGAACGGATTCCATTGAAAGAGGGAAACGTCTCAGCAAGTTCATTGGTTTCGTCAATGGAAAGCTCCTAAATTATGTAGATAAAAAAAAACTTTTTGTTCCACATAGGTGATTGCAAAGCAGCAAAACCTCGCAGCAGAAACAAATGACATGCAACTAAGCTAGATCCACCTTAGGTTCCTTTCCGT